AAATATTATGAATCATTCGAATTTAACAATATCAAAGACTAACTAAATAACCGTAAAACAGTGCACTGTCCACAATAACACTTCCTTTCATTAAATAAAATCATAAAGCAACGCTTTTGCCACACTGAGCTTCTCGAATGTCTTCGATAAGACCTATTCTTGAACTTCGCTTTTCCTCACGAGCAATATCACGATAACTTGCTTCCATGTGACGATCGTCAATCATCCGTTCTCTTAGCTTCCAACGATTTTTGTCATAGCGTGGGTTAATTAGTCTTAAATAATATAAGAATTTAGAACAAAGACATTCGAAGAGGAATAAATAAAAAGCAAACTGCGTATATAATCGGAAACAAAATACTAAAATGAAAAAAAAAGTACCGCAATGTTTCTTCTAAATCTCCGCGTTTCAGATGTTCATCAAATTCGCTGTCATCAATGAAATCATCCATTTCACTATCATACTCCTCATCATCAACATCCTCATCCAAATCATCTCTTGATTGACGCAGTCTAAATATAGGCAATATTTGCAAAGTAAGTTGACCCTAATGCATAAAGTCATAATGGAAAGAAAATCATAATGAATACTCTTCTAGACGACGTCGCTCTTTTAGACGCATACGTTCATAGGCTTTGAAACGAGCAATTGCTTTCTCCCGCGACAACATTTGTCTTAATGGATTCTGCCGCCGATTATCAGCTCTTGCAAGATTTCCCTCAATAATTCTAGATCCCCTGGAAAGTAACATTTTTTTTTAAAGTAAAAATTACTCTGAACATAATTTCCTACGTAAATATCCTATATGTAATACTCGAAAATTCTAGAAAAAAAAAGATAATTTTAAGAATATTGGAAACAACCTTGGTTACCCTTATTTATTAATTTAATTCCTTCACTTTAAGTTATGCATAGCATTTAGTAAGAGAAAGAATTGTCTCTAGTAGGAGAGAGAATTGTCTCAAACAAAATTTAAACCAGTTATTCCATATTTTCACCTTGCTTGTGTATCCTTAGCATTAGATTCCTTCACATTAGCTTTGGTTACATTCGAAGGATTGCTATCTGCCTTAAAACTTGCCTGAGATTGCCCTGGAGGAGGTCCTTGATATCTGAAATAGTGACTTGAAGTGAACTAACTTGTACCATAACGTCAAGATATAGGCAACATTCTCAAGATCAGTATTAAATGAAAATAACCCAACATTTAGATGAAATGAATATGATCCATAAAAATTTAAAAACCTAGGAAATCGGACATAAAGAATTTATTCAAACAAACCTGATATCTCCTAAAAGATACCGCCGTGATGGCAGCGTGAAGGGAGATCCAGAAGATACAGATGGTGGCACTTTCTGTTCCTTGTTATGACCAGTTTGAATACCACTTACCTTCTTTGTGGTAATAGAACTAAATATATATAATGAAATAATTCTTTGTGCATCTCAATTTAATTATAGTTCAACAAAAATACAAAAATAAAGGGAAAAGAACCTTCGTTGTGCACCAACAGTTTTTTTGCTATTCTCATTTGCTGGCTTTGATTTGCCCTCACGATCATATCTAATAACCCTAATGTCTCGTTCAAGCAGCCCATTATGCGCTTTCTTTTTTGCTGGAGGTGAGGCAGCAAGCGGTGGTGGGCTAAGAGAAGTTTTACCATTCTGGATTGCTTCTGCCTGAAACAGAACTTACCATTCCTGAATATATCTGCGTTAACCTACAAACTATAACATTCTAAGCACAGCCGATTGTTTGGCCATGCATTTTTCATTACTGTATGTTCGACTTATTCACAAAAGTAACTGATATCAAAAATTAAACAAAATTCAAGAACTGGACATAAAAATTACTCAAAAAATTCTGAACATTTCACTGAATACCGAAGATAAAGCTAGTTGTGGTGTAATGAATGTCACTCACTTTCTTCATCAGGGAAAAGAAATTTGACTCCGATGGAGGTAAACGACGCTTAATCGCAACTCTCGTATCAATTTTTCTCGACTTACCTTCCAGCACACAAGACGTGGAAGGTCCTGGAGAATCTTCTTTCCTGAAACACGAAAGCACTTTGAGATTTTTTAAAATAAATTCTACAATTAATATTGGGTAAGAAATGAGCAAGAGACTTTTCAATGATTACCTGTTGCTTCGGCATATAGTGTACATACGCAAGTAGAATCAACTCACGTCAAATGTCTCAAACTATTCTTTTTGTTAATGGCGACTCTATAAGGACCATTTTTGCAAGATCCTGCATCTGCTATTTTTTCAGCTACCTTCTTTCGTTCCAAGGCCCTCACAACACTTCCGCGTAATTCACAATTGAGGCGATCAGCTTCTTCCTATAGAATAGACATAGAACAGTGTGTTTAAAGGAATATAACAGGAGTAATACCGATTTCATGAATCATATAAACCAGTAGATTAATAACATGTTTAACTATATATAAGAGTTTTGAGCTTTTGAAGCATCACTTCGAAAATGTTAAGGAAATTAAATTACATTACAGCTCCAATTTCTAGCTTTTTTGATTCATTATTTGCAAAAATAATGAACACGTACTGTGCGACCAACAAATCCTGCACTCTCTAATGACTTATGACTTTAAAACAATGAAAAGATTGAACAAGTGAATTAAATTGGCATAATGGACCTTATCCGCACACCGATGCACGGTTGTATCCAATATTAGTAGTATCATCATTGGGAAACATGTTGTCTGAATGCCAGCATAGCTCACTTACGTTGCCCCACGCAGGAAGCAATCAGTATGCGTTTCTATCAACCATACAGTAACGCATGAAACTGACCTCCTCTCTAATCTGCTGTTTTTTCAGATGTTCTTCATGTTCGCGATCATTACCGTACTTTTGTTGCAGTTCAATTGGAGTGCTACCAAACTGTTTAGCAAGCTTTTTATTTGCCTAAAGAATAGGATAAAAAATCGAATCGAGTTTATTTCAATAAAAAAGAAAAGAATACGAATCCCTTCGTTGAGATATGAGAGTTAATTGATAGAATGTAAACAATTAGACCTGACGAATGTTACGGAAGCTTCTTGAAATCAAAACAAAATTCTAACCTTTCCACCATAACTTTGCAACCTTAATTTTATAAGCTCCTCCTTTTGCTTCTTTTTCTCAGTTATAGCTTTTCGCTTCTCTTCCTCCTTTTTCTTTAGAAATAAAGCTATTCTGCTCTTATCGACGTCTGAACCTTCTTTCGTTTTTTTCTTCGGAATGACAAACTGGAAATTCAGTTTGTGTAAAGTGATTCACTTTTACATAATTACCCTTCAGTTCTTGTCTATCCAAAAGATCCCTAAAATTATCACTTTGAAATTCGCCTGCAGTATGTCTGGACAATCTCATCAATTGATTAACTAGAAAAAAGAGAGTGTAAGATAGGGAATTTGGTGATACAGATGACTAGTAAATCTTTGGCGCAACTGAAGACGTACAGGTTAATGAAGTCTTCTAAAAGTTACCACTTATCAAAGACAGCTAAGACCAACCCCACAACCTATCCTAACCATTTTGATAAGTATAAGAATACCAACGTTTCAGTAATGTCGAATCACGACTTAGCATTAACCTTAAAGCTAAAACCATCACGGACGACATTGCCAGTTGTTGATCTGGCCAACCTATAACTCAGAAAAAAAACCTGACCAGAGGGTGAATTGGGACGTCCCGCATCGTGCAGATAGAGGAGGGATAGAGGCTGTTTGTGGTGCACTTCTGTCACTATGTGGAATCAATGAAGAGTTCAAGAAAAGAAGACTCGAGTGAATGCAAATTCATTCAATTCGCTAATTCATTCTATTAAGGTGGCCTTCCACTCCCAGCAAGATGTCATCAACGCAAAAACCTTAAAACCTGAAAATAAAAAGTGGAAAAGACCTGCGGAAGTATAACGATACTACTACCTCCCTTAGTGAGACTTCGTTTCACCCAGGGAAATGCGGTTATAAAATTAAAACCTAAGAAAACTTGGTAAAACTCGTACCTACTCTATCCTCAGCGAAACGTCGTTTTGTCTGAAGGAAATGTAAGGAAAATTAAAACCTGAAAAGAATAAATGGACAAGTAACAAATAAGATCAAGTACTTTCGGTTTTTCAGGAGGAGGTTTCGCAATTTTTAATTGCTTTCGTTCCGCAGCCAATCGTACATTCATACACTTTTCGGTCTTTTGACGTGCTTCGTCGATCTTCTTAATTTCCTTAATCGCATTTCTAGTGTTACTACTTGCTTGTTTTAATATATCGTCAAATAAATCCATAAGTAACCATTTATTATATTATTACCATTAATCTGAAAGTACACGTACGCTTAGCGTCTCTTGCTCGGATTCTTCAGCTCTACCACAACAACATAATCACACTTTTTCACAAAAAAAAACTCGATAAACAACGTCAAAACGTTAAAAACCGACGAAGAAATTTGCAGACAGTACATCTGAAGTTTTCCAAACTGGATCCGGCAAACCTTTACCCAAGAGAAATACAGACAACTGTGCCAAACTACTACATCACTACATCCACCCAATTACCAATCTTGGTCGAGCGCGCTGTTGGATGGGGCGCAATGTAACAAACATCTTCCCAAATTCTCAACAGCTATTTGTTTTAAACTTAAATTTTACTAAACTTCTTTGGAAAATATTCTTTAAACATACGTATTGGAGAAGGACTTCTTTTTTAATCTCACCTTTTAAGTAATAATTAACCATTGCAAGAAGAGGAAGAAGACTGGGAAGTTGAACCATCATGACCCCAGAAAGTCACATCATTTCATGAAGAATTGTATGCTATAATCAAAATAAATTCAAACAAATTCAATTGTATATAAGCTTTACTTATCTCACTGATAATGATAGAAAAACTATAAGAGACCGATTGTAGAGTGCTTGCTAGTTAGTTCAAAATGTGACAATTTAGCGTAATTCTGTCTAGGTCACCTCAATTATCATCATGACATGGAATAGAGTGATTTATGAATGTTGGAATGGTTTGAACGATGCATCACTTTAAATGTGTTTGTAATCAATGACATATTTAATCTTAAATTTGTTTTCTTTCAGTGATTTTCATTTCCAATTTCTCTTGTACTTTTTTTTTAATTTAAACAAAAATTTGTGCTTTGAGTTAATGTCAAAAACGACTGAGCGGAAAAGCTGATAAAAGTGAGTGAGTGATGAAATTTCATGATAATTGCCAAAATTCATGGATATTTGGGACAGCTGTCAAAATTTCTGTGCAAACATTATAAAATGGGTAAAAGTTTTTATTCAAGAAAATAATTCCTACATAATTTAACCCAATAATTTCCGAGTCTTCCTGTCCAAAACTTATTGACTTAATTATACGCTCAATATTTTATCAAATTTATTGAAATCTAATTGGTTCAAAGATAAATTAAATCGGAACTGAATAGAAACGGAACTGTTTCAACAATCAATGCAATATGTGGGAGTGATAATTCTGAGTTTAAATTCTGAAAAAATTAAATTTACGATTTTACGTAGTTCATATTTGCTTAAAGGAGTATAAGATGTCAAAAAAAAAAAGGATGCAAATCTTATATTTAATTTTTAGGATCGTTGCAATTATCAAAAGCGAGCAGTGATATTCGTTCAGCAAGCTGTTACTATCTTATTTTGTTTTTACAAACTGAATGGTAAGACCGAAGTTAGCAAAGTTCAATTTCCATAGCACCACCATTCGAGCAGTTTAGGTCACATTCCTTTGTCCGAGCACCTATCACTTTACCGTGTTTTTTGAACTGGCATAAAGACCATTCGATCCATTTCATTTCTCTCAAACATGTATTATCCACCAAAAAGAAAAAAAAAAAACGACTTCTCAGGGTGTATATTAACAGATAACAATAAAGTGGACATGAAATGAATAACAAATAACTTAAAATTTGAGCTAAATTAAAAAACTAATGCCAATTTGAAATCAATTATTTTGTAAGAAATTCACTGCAAAAGTAATTCTCAGATCCCATATGCGAATTCTGCTGGATTTTCCAAAATAAAGTATAAATTTGTGAAAAGTACTACGCTTACATCGAGGTGATTCTTACTTCGAGAAAGTTGTTGTCCTAAGAGCTTTGAATAAGAGAATGAGAAAAATCGTTTGCAGCTATTTTCCTATCTCCTGTCCTCTTTATTCATCACTTTATCTTAATATTCACTTATTTGATCGTCTTATTTACAAAAATTTTAATGAATTATTGCTTTGTCATTCTCGAATTAGTTTTGTACACTGTCTGGAATGGAATTAGTGTTAAACAAAGGGTGGGAAGGATGTAGGTATAATTAGCTGCTACCGGCATTGTTTTGATCTGATTTTATTGGTATTACAATGATTGGTGACAACAAAATTTGTTATCAGATGTTTAGCATATACGCAGCTCCTACAATAAAACATGATATTGTTGAATTTCTTGTACTTCTATGCACTGCTTCCATTAGGATATTCCCGCAAGGCTTTTTTGATATGACAAAACTAAAAGTCAAAGATGCTATTTACCTGAATTTTCTGGCATTTTCCGCTTTGGAATATAGCGGCATGATCGTAAACGACTTAAATGATTTGGGAAGAAATAGAATGGAAAATCCACGAGTACAATTCCATTTGCAATAGCATGTTATCGATTTGGTTACAAATTTTACAATTACCGACAGCTATTCAGTCGATGATTCCGATCTTATGACATCGATTATATCAACTCTAAAGCATCCGTTTTTGATAACAACAGTATCCTGTGAAAACGACATATTTTCTGAATTCCTGAAAAGTTCTCATTTAGAAGACTGTATGGTTTGAAACTCTAGTTTGGTTGAGATTTAGTGAAACGCTATTTTACTGGATAAATCAAAAATCTAATGCACCTTTTTTTGTTTTAAATCACTGCTTCGTTAGCATAAATTTATTTCATGCATATCTCACATTAAAGTCAAACGTGTACAATTAGCTAATTACAATAGTATTTTAATCTTTTTTTCCAGCTATTGATAATACTGAAAACTGTGGAAATCCATCCGATGAAATCGCCACCCGAATTCTATTTCAATCGTTACCATTTGCATTGCTGAAAGCAGTGACCATAAATAGTTTAGAGCACTACCAACAGCCAACATCACCTTTTGAAATTAAAAAAGATATCGAGTAAGACAGTACCATGAAGTCCGGTCAATGAAGAAAATTCTTGACAACTTATTATTGCGAAGTTTTCTTCAACTTTCTTATCCTTTTTTTCTTAACTTTTTTATCATTATGAGGGATTCATGAAAAACATTTCTATTTTAATTAGTTGAATAATTTTAGGTTATACTTATAATGGTACTATATTTTCATTCTGATACAATTCATAAAATTGATTATCGAAATTTTTTATAAGAAATGAGGACACTTCAAAATATCAAAAGATATGACAGTATATTATAAAACGTTGCAGACAACTGAAAGCAGAACAAAATTCTACTGCTGCAATAATTATACTTGTTCTTGAAGAAAATCGAAATAACGATAAGCCTTATCCATTAGCTGATAGGATAGAAGATGGAACACGAAACTGTGACATCTTTGATACTTCCATTCTGAATCTCGATCCTTAACAATGGCTTAATGGTTTCTCTGCATTTTAATGTTTGAAAAGAAAAAAGAAAAACTGACATTATACAAATAATATACCATTCGATATTAAATATCATAGAGGAAATAAATATAAATTATAAATATAAATTACAAATAAATATAAATTATATAAATTACATATCAAAGAGATTGTGAATCTCACAAGTTGAAAGAGAAATTGATGTAAGCAAGAATAGGAAATACCTATTGTTAGATCCTAAAACAGCTTTTTTTTCTTACAACTTCTGGAGAAATCGGAAATGCATCAAATATTTTTGGATGATCTTATAGTTGGAGGGTTGGCACTTTTTTTCCTTTTTTTTTGAGTGGGGAGATAAGAAATAATCAGAAAGGACTGCCATAAATCAATGTTTCCCTTATATCTAGTCTACAATTGTTTCATTGATCGGTTTCTGTAGTATATCGAGAAGCAAAAGTTTGATTACTGTGAAGAATTTTTTGGAAAGTAGCGATGTTTGTCTAAAATCATTTAATCTTTCATGTTTCAACGCGCGAAAGTTAATGTAATTAAAACAAATTTCTGCAGATAATGGCAACCGAATTATTCCTATCAAGAAAGATATCAAACTTTCTTCCATTACAGCAATCAAAAACATCGATGAAAAAAATTCCACCGAATTTACCAATGGTATCATTAATTAATTTTCCCATAGATTCAGTAATTTCATGATGCTACTTATAAATTAATTTAATTGTTAGCAATGATTTTAGATAAATAATGCTTTAGAAGGCATTGAACAGATGAGCAGGAATGAAATCAGAGGTAAATTTGCCAGAGCGATGAAAGAATCGTTTCAGTATGTGAAAAGTGACATTCGGGATGAATGGCACACTGAAATTACACCGGAGAAGTATGCCACAGGTATAAATGGCTATTGATTTGATCAATCAGGAACTTTCCTGATCAAACATTGCCTCTTTTAACAATTCAAAGAAATATTTGAGGAAAAATAAGAGTAGACAAAGTCTAGTTGATGAGTTTGAGATTTGTTTTCGATATTATCTATGAGTAATGCTGCAAATTATTTGTTGCTTGGTATACAATCTCCTCCTCTTCATTTCAGGTGATTTACTCTTTGAAGGACGCTACAGTTCCGTTGTGACAGCAAGATCCTATCCAGCCTTCAACGGTTTCACGTACGTGGAACCTCGACCATGCATCATCAAAACAAAACATATTGGTGCTATTCTGGATGACATATTACGTGATCAGTGTGATGTTAAAGAGACATTTCAGCAAAAGATTTTTCGGCTTCTACGACGAATAGTTATGGAGGTTTACATCCTAAATAGGTATCATTTCTAAGCTTTACAAGACAACAACTATTAGTCAATATTATCTCCAGGAAGATATTTGAACTGTAGAGAAATCGATCAGTTATGAGGTCTAAATTAGAATGATGTGTTTGCAAAGATGACACTTATTTTATGTGACAATGTAAACATTATCAATTACAAAGACTGCATATTAATTCTAATTAATTTCTTACATAACAAAGTTAATTTGTAACAATTATAGAGTTCGTCATTCGAATATAATGCATGCTCATGCTACAGTGGTCACCGAGCATTCACTTTGTCTACAATTGGTTCTCCCGCGATTATATCAGCTCGAACAGCTAATTGATAAATATCGCCATGATAAGGAGGGAAAGGTTGTTGCATTACTTCGAAAAGTTATCTGATCTTCTTATAATACCCTAAATGTAAGGTGTGTGTAAAAATGTCAGATCGTAAAGTCATTTTCCACAAGCATACACCATACGATGATGAATTTTTGTCAAAATTTTGCCATTCAATAACGATAATTGGAATAGTTTGAAACTTTAAAATATGTAAACAAAGTTTCATTTTTTAGCCGATGAATATCTGCATCATTGCAATGATTATTCGACAGCTTTGCAGAGCATTATCTTATCTTCATGATGCAAATATCATTCATAAGTTTGTCTTCTTCTCTTCATCACATTACTATTTTCATTCATAACTTTTCAACAAATTCCGGAAGAATTTCCTATTTTCAAGTGAAAATTTTTCAGTGATATTCAACCAGAAAACATTTATCTGACCCGTGGTGGTACTGTTAAATTGAGCAATTTCATCAATTCACGAATGATCGTAAATGAACAAGCAGCTGAGATGTGTCGAACACCTGATGGAACACCAGATTATATGTGTGCTGAAAAGGTCAATCATTTATTATCACAAAATAACGAGTGGATCACTTCAAAAGTCTCCTTATTTTGGTGATAAACAAATTATCATTGTTGCCTACCGCCCAGCAAAAGTGATGTGTAACGCGTCTAAACAGTGCTAACGTTACGTTTTGGGATATGGTAGTACTATATCAAGCTACTGCTGATTTGCAGCACTATATATCACAGTCAAAGTTCTGTTATGACGATGTTGTGCTGATAGAAAGTATTTTTGTTGAGAATTTTATGGAAATTTTAGAAATTTCAGGAATATAAGAAGTGAATGTAAGATGTTTCCGTTTCAGCAGTATAATTTAAAACGTGCAACAATTGCAACAGATTATAAGAACTATTCGACGTCAGCAGATATCTGGTCATTGGGTGTGCTAATACTTCATATGGTCAGCTATTATCCCAATGAAAGATGGCACCGCTTACCCCGAATGTTCGCCCTCCAAATGGGTGAAAGAAGAATGCCGTTTCGATGGATGATTAACGATATGATGGTGCCTCAAATCCTGCTTCATTCTACTTGTGGGTCAAACTAACTGAGAGACTGTCCTTTCATAAAATACTTCGAGTTTTTGGGTTATTTGGATCAAACAATCTCTTCTCAGGCATTATGCAAAAGTTAATCAAGCTTTAGAAAACTTTTCAGCAACTTTGTATACGAATGACACAATGTGGTGATGGACGTTTGAAGCAATATCTGAATGATACAATGCTCAATTTGGATCCATCAGCACGTCCAACAGCCAGACAAATTTTGGAATCATATTTAATCACAAAATGGTGTAATAAAAGCCTGGAGCAGGTAGTTTTAAGAAGTAATAAATGAAATTTTGTCTGATTAGATTTATAAAAAAAATTTAGTTGCTAACAAATTTCAATTCTTTTAGCATTTCAAAAATTAAAAATTTTTCATTTCTTCTTTAAAGGACAAAAATCATCTGGTGAAGCGTTTCATTTATGAATTGGATTGGCAAAATCGCTCCAAACTTGATGCTGATGGTTACAATTACAATGCATGTGAAGCTGTTCGTAAATTTCATTTTTAGAACAGTTTATTCAGCTAATTTAAATTCATTTTAATTTTGCTTAATCATTGAGAATTGACAAATATTTCCATCTTTCCTAGGCCACTTTTTTTACTTAAGCTCAAATCCATTTCACATTTTCAACCCCCATCGATGATATAAATTAATAGAAAGAAGCATGGAAATGAGTAATTCTTGAATATAAGTTTGCATTTGTACAATTTCTTATTAATTATGGACTAGCGTATACGGAGAGAAACTTTTGTTTGCTCTCTTATTGTTCAAAATTAACCTTAAATTCACTATCCTATTAATGAATCTGATTTTTTGCCACTTCTGAAAGTGTATTGCAGAAAGATATTCCGGCGGATTTTTACTGGGATGATACATGGCAGAAACTTGAGAAGCAATCGTTTGCTTATCGATTATACGTTTATGATCATGATCATTTACGAATAGGGAGCAAAGTTGAGTATGTTTATCTTGAGTTTCACTTATCATTTCAATAAAAAATCGGATTTCAACTGTATTTAACAGTCTTTCTTGAAATCATGCAAGTTTTGTTTGGTAATTTGAAATTTTTGAATGCAACTTTCTTAAATTCCAATCAAAGTTTCAGGCGATATTTCACGCATGCTGATAATTCACTGTTTCAAACACTCATGCTTGCTGTTGATGCTAACCATCTTGAAATGTTTGACGTGATACCTGTTGATCAAAATATTCGAAATCTTTGTTTCTTGCTCATAAGAAGCGCTAAATATCATCGATATAACCTTGCCAAATGTGAAGCTGAAGGTGTTTTTATGGAATATTTTATTTGTACTTACTTGTTCTTCAAATTTAAAACCAAAAAAAATTTTTGATTTTATTTTCATCCTTCCCTTCACTTTTGAATTTTGAAATAAACGTTGAATATTAATGAGTCTATTTTGGACGATAGGCTATTTTATCAGTACTTATCCTTAAAAATATTTCATCTTATAATAATTTATAACTTTCAGAAGTGTCATTTGATCTGCCACCATCTTTTCACTGCGATATGCGCTCAGCAAAAACCGTTGTTTATTTTAAAGATTAATTTGAGCTCATCTTAAAAATCTGATCATAAAACCTGAAGGTAATTAGCCCTACGAAATGGCCAACTATTTCCGGTTATACCCTAATGCATATTTCATACTTTTGTGTAATTGTTTTGTCCTTCCACAACAATTTATCATATTTCTTATAAATATATTTAAATCTTTCTCTCATTAATACATAAAACGTGTAAATAATCCATGCAAAAATCTCACTTATAAAAGTCTTTGACATATTTCCTGTTAACAATTATTTTTATCACCCTTACATATGTGTCTTCGATAAATTTTTATTACTCTTTTTTTATCATATGTGATAAGTTAAATGCATATTTGATAAAAGCGCTCAATGATTAGGAAAAATTTATGCATGCGACAGATAACTTGCATGGTATGTAAACACGAGTAAGGCTTTTCTTTTTTTTTTTTTTGTTTATTTGAAGTGAAATAATTCTGCCAATTATCATTCAATCATTCAGAAGGTATTTGTATTGTATAACTGTAGTGCATAAACTTCACTTTCATTCATCAACAATTTTGTATGAATAAAGTTGGCACTATGTGACATTTTTTTTTTGTTCAGTGGATATGTTAACTGACAAATTACAGGTGAGCCTTTTTTTTAAAAAATGAAAAAATGACTCGCAAATGTAATAAAAAGATGAATAAAAACGAAAAAAAAGGATATTCATAAATTGTTAGGTCAAATTTAATTAATAGCAAAAGGTTTACCGATTTGATCAATGGAAGACTGAGGTTGAGGAGTTCTTGCTGGGTAATGTATTGGTAAAAAGTTAAGGACTCCGGAATGGTGTACTCACTTATTTAATACTTATTCTTGGGTGTGACAGTTTAACAATTGGGTCAATTTTTCAAAAAAAAAAAAGACTAGGTGCTTGAGAGTTTTTCAGAGACATCATAGACAGTAATGGCATTGATGCAAATAATTCATTTCTGATTTAGGATTGTTCCAGGAGCAAGTCGTGAACACTTGTTCCGGATGAGAGGGTTTCCACAAAAAAATTGTACATAATTCTTCAATTACTTTATTGTTTACTATTTAATTCCACCTTCTAATTTCTAATTTTGAAATATACCGCACCAATAGTGTCTGGAAAATAATGTTTTGGATCTGTGATTTGCGGGAAAGTAGTGACAAGTTTTTGAGACTCATTTTTTTAAGTACTTACTTCTCCGGTATAACATCTCTTACTGTAGTTGCTACAATTTTGTTAATCACATAGATGCTATTATTCAGGCCGCAGTTGGATCTGAATTTGGGAGCCTTCTAGTTTCATTTACTTAAAGTGGTTTGGAAGATTGTTTATGTTTCTCATCCATAAGTTTACCAAAACTGGTATCTTTCTGTAACCACTAACCACCTGAACTATATTTAAGTCTCTTAGATTTCATAAACAAGCAACTCTGTGATATGGTATCTTTAATGAGAAAATACCATTATTGTGTAATCTCCTTTAATTACACTTTCATTGCATTTCACTTTCCACATGTATTGGGCATTTTTACTATTGTTTATTCTTACTTTTTGAGGTTTATCAACGGTATGTAACTACGTTTATTCCGTTAGTCTCAATAAACGCTTAATACCTCTCCAGATTTAGCCAAATGTGCCATTCAAGACATTCAGAATACATGTGTTTGATATCCTTTGTGAACTTTTTTAATTTTTTTATCATTGTGGTAAGAGAGTAAGATGAAATAATTGAAATAGAATAGAATAGAGAAAGCATTCCTAATTGATATAAAGTGGTTCGTAAGTGCTAAATAAACGGATTTGGTTGAAAGCAAAGGTATGCTTAAAAATTTACATGCTATGCTGTAAAAACGTCCAGTTAAAATACTGATTCTGAATGAGGTTCATACTTGTGTTACTGAGGTCAAACAAGATTGTTAATTGATACGATTCAATCAATGATGCCATTTAATGTCAGTTTGTAGCAAATTTTAATTACCTGTTGAATATGATTGCAAAAATCAATACCAAATTCTAGAATGCCTCAAATTTGTTATGTTTCATTTCTCACTTAATATTACACTCAGAAATATAAATCAAGCATATGGGTCTTAACAGTATCGTTTATTAGAATTGATTTGCTCTGTGAATATTTTGACTAAATGTTGGCTAGCAATGAGCAACTAAATTTGAACAATCAATTTTATCGAAATTTTTACAGTAAAAATTAATTTCCGTTAAAAAAAAGTGACAAAAAATGGTTTTGAATTAACTAGAGTTAAAGTTTTCTAATTTTTGAAATTCCGATATAAAATCTTTTTTTTCGATTTTTAAAATTCCAATATATAATAATACATTGTATTGATTTAGTCACAGGACATGATAGACGATCGATGAAAGTTTTAGTTGACATCTCCCAATTAAATGCATAAATGAAATAAAAAGGAAACAAAAATGGATTGGAAGGAGAATAAAGTGGTAGGTAATATGAGAGTTTTGTTTACCTATAGGCTAGGCAATCATCGTCTGGGCTAAAACTGGTACTAAGAGAATGCAAACCTTCCGAAGAGCATCTTCATCTTCATTACCATCATCCAGTTCGTGTATTTTGATTGCAATGCCGCTTGAAAATTTCATGAAAACTTCTTTTATTTGACATTTCCTGAATCGTTCTCTTTCCTCCGAATATCCAACTTGCCTTCTTCTGAATGACAGATATTCTCCTCCTTCTTCCACTCTCATACATCGTTCACTCCACACTGTTATTTTCCGTTCTCTTATTCAAAGATATCTTGATGCAATCATAAAACACTAATATATCCATTATTTTCCTATTTTTAGATTCCTATCCATCATTTGACAAAATTTTTTCAGCAAGCATATATCGCTTTCATTTTGAACTTTTATGAATTTTATCACTAGAACATCTTATCATCAGTAGAAGTATTTTGAATTTAGCAACCACTGAGGCAATCCCTGATAGAACAACTAATAATGGTCATAACCCAATGATAACTGTTAGCAATTGTGATTTCAACTTATATCGAATGTATGATAGGTCAAAGTTCGAATTCATCGCTAATTACACGAAGAAATGAGATGACTCATGAAATTTTTTATCATCTCTTTGTTACTTTTTTATTTACTCTTTTATTTTAACATTACTCTGGTTTGCTTTCCTGTTATGCAGACCACAAATCGTGCAATACTGCTGAGTTATGCACCTTCAGCAAATTAATTACTATTACTTGTTCATATAATATATATATATGTATTGGTTTATATATATATAAATTTGTTTATATATATATATATATATATATATATATATATATTTATTTATTTATTTATTTTCTCTTTGATTAATTCCCCAATAACAAATCAGACTAGCTAAATACATTTTTTTAAATTACT